ACGTCGCTTATCGGGCGGGCGAGCGTCTCTCTCTCTTCTGGTCCGCAAGGGTCGCTCGGAGGCCCAACGTGACGCCCAAGGTGGTCTCTCCCTCAGCCATCCGTGCGACGAGAAAGAATTCTCCTTCCCTCGTAATATCTCGGCCGGCTCGCTCGGCTCTCTGCTGGGTCACCACCACAGCGCCAACCACGTGGGAGAAGGCCCCGAGCCCACCGTGACCGACCCGCTCATCGGCCCCGTCGGGGAATACGAGACGCGGGTGGACATGGAGAAGGAGGTAAGACGTTCCGTGACCCAGCTGGGTAACATCACCGACGCTAGAAGGGCTTGCAGAAAGGAGGAGGGGAAAAAGACGACATCCGCCGGCCGAAACGGCAGCTGGTCCTCGCTTAAGGACGGGTTCCGAGGCCCACAGAAGAGGGCCGTGGGGGTCTGTCAAGCAGCCCTGGCACCCCTAAATGGACTGGGACACCCCCCCACCCCACCCCAAGGTCAGCTGACGGCAGTTTGGGAGGCTTCGTCCCAGTTTTTTGGGCCGTTGATTTCGTAAGGGGAGAGGGTTGGACTAGATGACCTCCCAGCTCCCTTCCAAACTGTGCTAACTGTTATCAAGGGGCTTCTTAACTGGTAGGGGATTAGGTTTGGGGGAAGGAGGGGGGGGCTCGGGCGTCAGAGAGGGGCATCCGGGGGGGGCGGCCCCCCCCCCTCCGGCAGGCCACCGGACTCCGGCTCCCATCCTCCCCTCCCTTAGAGCCTACCGAAGGAGGTGGCCTCCCCTGTCCTCTCCGGCCCCATCACTCGCTCCAAGTCGAAACATGAGTTGAAGCTCTTGGAGAAGATCCCGGACAACGCCGAAGCCACCGTGGTGCTTGTCGGTAAGCGCATCGGGGCTCCGGGGGGGGGGGGGGGGCTTCCGCGACGGGGGGGTGTGGTCAGGCCTTGACGGACAGCCTCCCACCCCCGTCCGCAGGTTGCGTCCAGTTCCTCGACCAGCCCACCATGGCCTTCGTCCGGCTGAAGGAGGCGGCCCAGTTGGACGCTGTCTTGGAGGTCCCGGTCCCGGTCCGCTTCCTGTTCGTGCTGTTGGGCCCCAGTAGCGCCAACATGGACTACCACGAGATCGGACGCTCCATCTCCACCCTGATGTCCGACAAGGTAGGGTTGTGGGGTCGGGACACGGCGTCGGGCGCCTTCCAGGAGGGGTCGTAGGGTTCCTTGCCATGGCCAACTCAACATGGCCAAGTCAACATGGCCAACTCCCCATAGCCGATTACCCTGATGAATTCTCCATGGCCAACTCTCCATGGTCAACTCGCCTTGGCGAACTCTGCATGGCCAACTCTACATGGCTAATTCTCCTTGGCCAACTCTCCATGGCCAACTCATGACCAACTGTCCATGGTCAACTCTCCTTGGCGAACTCACCATGGCCAACCCATGGCCAACTGTCCATGGTCAACTCTCCTTGGCGAACTCTCCATGGCCAATTCACCATGTCCTACTCTCCATGTCCTACTCTCCATGGCCAATTCTCCTTGGCCAACTCTCCATGGTCAACTCTCCATGGCAACTCATCATGGCCAACTTTACATGGCTAATTCTCCTTGGCCAACTCTCCATGGCCAACTCATGGCCAACTGTCCATGGTCAACTCTCCTTGGTGAACTCTCCATGGCCAA